AATACAATTTTTGCGAAACCGTCACTAACTGGTTGGCTGGATCACAACTGATAATAGTCACACCATTGAAAAGTTCCTTAGTTACATTGCTACAATAAATCACATGACACATGCTGAAGCCGTTACTTCAGTCAACTTCAGTACACCTAGCAGTGGTCAGTAGTCAAAAATTTCGGAAAGGGAAATCGAGTTGAATACCAGTTAATCGCGACTTTGTTGTACATTACTGGGTCTAGATTACTAGCAATTAATTGAGCTGAGTGATCCATGTATTCAATATAAATGAAATTATCGATAGAATTTCGATAGATCAAATTCAACCATTTTTTAAAATTCTCAGTTTTATTCTTGATGTGTTTCTCCAACTGAAAGTCGACAAACATTATTTCGACGTGAAATCTCAAATATGCTATTGAAACTTAGACATAAAATCTGCCCATAATCTGGATATTCCGAAATGTGTACGAAATGGTTGTACTACTTGAAAAAAAAAAGTTGTCACCTATTTTTGAAATGACCAAAAACTTGTTTTTGTGACAGAAATGTTTGGCTTTCCACTTCTTCATCTTCATACAACTTCCAAAGAAGAGAAAAAAGCAAATAACTTCCAAATAACGTCTTCATACTCGAAGAGGCAATAAGACAAGTGTCACATTCTGATGACAGGATGTTGATGTTCCATGTAAGTGAAACATCATTCATATTGTGTAGTTATTCTGTGAATCATTTTTTATTCACTTCGATAACGAATGTTTGGAGCACAAACTGAATAAGAAGTGTCACACATGTTTTCCAATTTATATAACAAAATTATACAAACCAAAACGGCGCCTTATCTGTACAGGAAAATCGCTTTTCGTACTGATGTTCACAATCTGAAGATCAGATTCAAAGGTACTCTTACCCCACATAGTTTTAAAACTGAATTTTTCGAGCGATCTTTTAGCTATAATATATGCCAAGTGATCACCACGTTACCAAAAAAAATAAGAAATTCAGAACTTTCTGTTCAACAGAAAAGATTCAAACTTCTTCTGTTCGAAAGCTAACTTTGAGTATGAACTGCCCAATCCTATATATTTTTCATCATTATGAGACCAGAATAAGTCTCAGTAATGGACGTCTTCTCCAGCATCATAATAGATATTTGAACAATCCAATTTTTTTCATGTATTACTTTATTTTTGTCTCAGCTTTGGTAGAATCTTTTTGAGGTTGAGTGGAAGCACAACTCAGTAGCACTTATTATATTATATTTCAATTTTATTAAAACCACGATAAAAATAAAATAAAAACAACAATAAAAATTGATTGGCACTCCGGGGCGACTTTATTGATTCCAGTGGCGCATTTGCTTTTTCAGCTGCAGGAAAACCCGGAAAAACTTGCAGCACCACATCATCTGAAGATCTTGATCTAACAATGTCATCTCTCTTATAAAACAGAGCCTCCAATGAATTCAATGCATCGCCAGAACACTTCGTGACACGACTATCTCAAACTTAAACCAGTCCGTTTCGTCTTTGACCAAGGCGTAATAATGACCAAATTCAACGCCAGAACCACAGTGAACAATGACTGCATGAATATTATAATAGATGTCTGCTAGGTTGAAATGTTCATCTATTTCGAACCTTCCAAAGAGTTTCTTGCTTCCGTTAGAGATTGAGTCTTGTTTGAAAATCATTAGTGTTATTATTAGATTGACTGGTGCCTCAGCTATACTTGTTTCCTCACAACATTCAGTTAGTTTGGCGCATGTTTGACAATAGAGTCGATCATCACCTGTTAAAAATTCCATTTTCAGATGATTTAACAATACGCTTTGCACGGATTGGTTATCAGTCATATTAGAAAAAGCTAGATGAAGTTCCAGAAATTCACATAAGTTTTTGGTACTTCTTGAACATTTACCACAAAGTAAACAAGTGAGGATTTTTCCATCAAAAGATTTACAAACACAAGACGAGATGGGCAGTATGAAATCATTCAGTCCAGAGCGGTCAGGAGTATTGATTTTGCTATTGTTTTGCTCACGAAGAGTATTCAACAAGAACCCCAATTGAAAATATTACATCATCTTATGAATAGTTGAATCGTGTTGCTTTCATTGACTTCAGAATTCCGGCAAAAGATGCGTCTCTTGATATAGAAATTCTCATATATTTTCATACTCCTCCAAGTTGATAGTAAGAGACAAAAACATTTTCACAAAAATCCAAGTTCAATTTAGTTCAAAGTTAGAATACAACATTATTATTCGGCATTGTTTACCCACGGCGTGCGATTCTCCGGTATTTTATCAGGTATTTTACGTTTTCGGTCCCGTTAACATCCAGCTATAGCGGAGTTTACGAGTCTGAAAATATTTAGGAATGTGGTCAATACTCGCTTGGTATCAGGCCAATATGGCCATAATTTTGAACATTGTCCGGCAAAGTGCTCTATAAAATCGTGCGAATATGGCAAACAGACAGGCGACCATGTTATTAAAAATTCTTGTCACTTCAAGTTTACCGATATCTGTAGGTGTTTCATTATTCGTGTATACGTCAATTATGTAAGGATTCAGGCTGAACCAGTGGTGCTGTGTTATATTCTTACAAGCGAGGTTATAAACGAAGGGCTTGAACATCCACCACATACCTATACAAATATCACATGAGACTATTGATCTTCCAGTATTTCCTTGATCTAGGTTCAATAATACATCAATTTTTTGTAAATAGTGGAAGTCCTCCAAGATTTCAACACAATGATAATGATAATGACGATGATAATGACGATGATAATGACGATGATAATGACGATGATAATGACGATGATNGGCTTATCAAATCGCCTGACTTTCGCTTTCCTAAGGTCGAGTGGGATGGAGTCAGAAACTAAGGAGTTCATTGCTAGAATGGTGTCTTCAACACATTGGTCTACCGAAGTCGCGTAATGTGTATAGAGGTTTCTTATACAAGGTGCAGGGTCTGCCGCCAAAATGCACTTGCTGAGAGCATGTCCTGCATATGCAGTCTAGGCCTATATCCGTCGACATAACGCGGCCCTAAGAGTGCTATATTACGATCTACGGCACTTTTACGGTATTGACGAGACACCGGTGTTGCCTACGCTCCGGAGGATATTGAATCCGTTATGGGAAACGAAAAATTCCCCACAACGGATTCATTGGAATGACTTTCGAATGAAATTGTAACATTTATAGATTTTTTTCGAAAAGAATATGGAACTCATAATCACTCAGAAACGGCTAATCCGATTTTCGAGAGTATACTCAGTGTTGGAAAGACAATTTAAAGACTATCAAAAGAACAATATTCTATCAAATAGTACTGAAAATTGGATTTCTCATGTAAATTTTGTCTAACTTGATTAACTCTTTCAGGCAATATGAAAATATTTTGAAGACATATTTATAATTCAGATAAAAAAACATTTTCTGAAGAAGGTTTTCACTCTGAACGTACATCACTTTGATGAATTATCTATCCATTGGCTGCAACTGCAAGAAAAATATAAATCAACCTTCTGATTAAAAGCTACTGAATCCAGCCTGAAGATAATAAATTCACAAAAGTTGTGTTTTCCATTATAATGAGCTTGGTTCCAATTTCGACTAAAATATTTTATTCCACGCGCCTACTTCTATCGGATGTGTCACTTTTATTCTCATGATGGTAACAGATATATCTGATACAGACTTGCACCCACAAATAAATCAGGCAGAGCAGTGAAACGAAACAAACGAGCATTTGGAGTGTCACTTGTCTAGATAGTACAAAATAGCTCAGGGGAATTGTGTGATTGAAATTCAAATACATCTCGAAACTTCCATCGGTGTGAAAACTATCGAAGTGGAAGGAAATGAGCAAAATACTGAGAAATTGACAGACGACCGTGACTTGCGCGAAATAAACCATAAACTTTTACATGGGGAGTCTTGGATAACCGCGTTGATATATGTACAAAAAGTTGAAGAAAAGTATATTGAAATACGTACTATATTGTGTAGAAATCCTGTGACTGATATCTGATTCGATTCCATAACAAATGTTTGGAATACAAATTGAATAAAAAAAGAATTTTTTGTATAGTTTATTCGTGCCTTCATTAAATTTAACTCACTCTCTCAGAATGCTGTTGGGTAATACGATTAAAAATAAATATAAATGAGTGTCAAAAACAAATAAAATTTATTTTGGAAAAAATTAAGACAAATTTACATTAATAGTGAGTACGTCCCCTGACTCTGAGAAGTTTGGCACAACGACGAGACATGCTTTCCACCAAATTTCTAATTATTTGTTGTGGTAACTGCTCGTAAATCGTCAAGAGAGCATCTGCAACTTGGTTCAGATTTTGGAAGGGTTGATGAACCTCCAAACGTTTTTCCAGTTCATCCCAGATCTGCTCAATATGATTTAAATCCGGACTATTAGCTGACCATCCCATATTTTGGGCAAATGGGACCACATGAGGTTCCAATATCTCCTCTTCGTAACGGACAGCCGTTAAAGTAACTTTCCGAAATACCACAAGGTCAGTGTGTCCTGTCAAAGTTATACCATTATAGATCCACCTCCAAATGGAACAATTTTGTTCACTGGGAAGTCTCTATACCCGAACACGTCCGTCATTGTTGAATAACATGAATGTTTTTTTCATCTGTGAACATTACATTGGACCACTGCTTTGAATTCCAATTACGATGCTCTTGACAAAAGTTTCTACGATTTCCTCGATGGGCTGGAGTTAGTCTGGGGGCTCTAGCAGGTCGTCTTGCATAGAGTTGTACTTCGTGAAGTCGATTTCGTATCGTTTGGTTCAAAATTCGCGTTCCCGTAGCTTCTATAAGGCGATTTTGCAGTGTTCTAGCTGTATAGTAAATGTGTGATCCATCCATTCCAATAGAAATGTTCTTGAATTGCAGTTTGAATATGTTCACTATCTTATCTCTGAGACAAAGATTCTGATAAATGTAATTATCGAAAATTTTCCGTAGAAACTGATACAAATTGTTTATCAGTTTGTCAAAATGCAGTGGATAAACCAAATCATTGTATTATTTTCTATCATTGATGTGAGTATACGTCATATTTTATTTCTAAATTATTTTCAATGTGAAAATTTTCCGAAATATTTTTTAACTGAACGAAAATCTGTTTGAAAAAGAGGTCGCTTTATTTTCGCAACTTGAGATACTGAATATTTTTTGGTTGAAGATTATATAATCTACCACAATTTTAAAAAATCTATAGAAGTTTACAACACTCTCGACTCTACCGTTTCAGGAAACAAACACCAATACTATGTCTTTTTAGACTTTTATAGATTTTCTAATTCCGAACAAAATAACACAAAACAGTCCATACAAGAAACTTCGATTTTAAATGTCTAGGTCATCATATCCCTCACGTGTCAAATATCTACAGTATATCAGTCGATTGAACAGTACCCTTCATTCATGCCCAGTACGATTTTTCAAGGTTTTTTCACATAACTTCAGATCAATGTTTTGGCTTTCATTTGCCATTTTTATACAATAAATTTTGAGAAACTTCCTAAGGAAGGCAGAAAGTAAATAAGTCTCAAATATTCTCTTTGAAAAGATGTCTAGATCATGCATAAAAGTTACTTGCAGATACAATCTGAAAGAAAGAATCCTTCAAAAGCAACTACTTTCATAAGAATATTCGATTATACGAAAATCACTTTTTTCTATACCTATGTAGAGTATGTACTCCAAACATTCGTTATTTAATCTAATCAGAATGCATTCATACACATTGTCATAAATGAAGTGACGATACAAAATTCATTTTTCTTCCAGTTTGTCTCATAAAGTAACTTCCACGTATGATCTTCACATCTTCGTGGTGAGTTTAGTTTGAAGCTGCTTGCTTTCTTCCTTTATTTGATTTCCACAATTTTTCATATGAAAATGGAGAAGCGAAAACTAAAACCATTTCATTACAAAAATTAGAAAATAATGTTTTTTTGATTCACATGAATACTCCCGAAAATGATTGTATAAATCGTTTTCTATAAATCCTCCAGATTGCTACATAGGGATGAGAAATATTCATCAAATTTGATGTGCTTACGAACACACATAAAGCTTTTTTATGATAAAATCGTTATTAGGGTAAAGCGTACAGTCATTGGTTTTAATCGAATAAATACGGACATTATGAAGGAGACTGTTGTCAAACAATCATTCTGAAAAATATAAGTAGGAGGAGAGTGAACCAAATAGTGCCCAACTTCCATTTAAACCCAGAATTTTATATAATTTTCCAAGAATGCAAAATCCACAGTCATTGGCCGTTTCATTACTGTTATTGGCCACAAGACATACAGTGATTGGCATACCCAAAGGAAATGAAACTTCAGGTTTTCAAATCCTACCAGGACTTCAATTTATTCAACTGATATATTATAATAATGATTTCATGAGATATTTGGTTTGGCTGAGCAGGTTTTACAATAATAAATTTGTTAACTGGATGTATCAGTTGATGGTGTCAGTCTAATAATGCACCTATTATGGTAGGTTCTTTCACATCCATAGCATTCGATTCCTTTTGATATTAGGCTAATCATGTTCGTACAGATGGAGCAGATTTTGCCAAGAGCAATCTGATTATTAGGAAAAGGTAATTTTTCCTGATTGTTTTCAGTACAATTATTGTTCTCGTCGTCACCGAATACTTTCCTCATGTGTTTTTCTCGTGCAGTTGTGACATATGATAAAATATTCACTCGGCTGTTGCTTGAGGGAGGTCGAGGGGTAGCACTTTCCTGCTCCAATTAATCATCTGAAGAAATTTTAGTTTGGATTTCTGCCAGTTGCAAATCACTTTTCATTTCCTTTTCCTCAACATGTTTACCTTTTGCTGTATTTGGCTCATTTGATTTCTTCTTCTTGATTGCCTCCTTTTTCTCTAACTTCTTCTTTTCGTTTTCAGATTTTTTCAAACATCTTTCTATTTTTCTATTTTCCTTTTCTTTTTCTTCCTTTTTCTCAGCTTCCAGCTTTTCCTTTTTAATGTTTTTCCAATCGTTAGAACAAATGGTAATCTTACACTATTTTTCTTACCTTTTCTTACCGGGGTTTTAGGCCATATCACATGATCATGAAGACTGGAATTCACTGGATCGATTCCTCTGTTGTCATGATTCTCTTGTAATGTTCTTGCAATGACGGAAGCGTCCGATTCTTCATTTTTATTCTGCCCATATAGTTTCTTGATATTTTTCATTGACTGCTTATCAACTTCACAATTTATTTCATTTGCTGCACGAACTGTTTCTTCTGATATTTTTATCATTTCTTCATTCATACCATCTCCAAACTCATTTCTTTCATCAAGATCCGTGCCAGTATGATTTTTCTCTTCTAACGAGTCTATGACCTAATATGTCACGGTGGATAAATGATTCTCGGTATTCACAGATGGTGAAATATCATTTGCAAAAATTATTTCGAGATTTGTTATATCTATATCTTCACGGATCTTTGTCTCACATTGAACACTCTGGTTGGATCTCTCAATATATCAAAATAACCCTTTTCCTTGAGATATTCCTCCACCAAAGTAAACCAATGTCGTATATCTGACTCTGAAATAACAGAACTAGCTGTCAGTTATTTGCCATATGGCCAATAACTGTTTTCATAAAAAAATGTGAAAACCTACTTACATTGGGAATTATTTGACCTTGTATAACACTCGATATGAATCGTTCTTGATATATCTGACAACAGACTGCAGAACAGAGAACACGAACTTATTCACAGCGACGTAATTATTTGAGGTTATGCGATATGACTTGGAAAAAAGGAAAACATATTCTGAAAGGTTGCCACTACCATCTGATGAAACAAAATTCCACTTCTTTCTCACCAGATTATTATAAATTATGAAAAACTGAAGCTATGCCAATCACTACCCGGTGGCCGATGACTGTCCGCTTTACCCTATCATGGGTAGTCCAGTAACTTTATACATCACAGCATGCGTCAAATCTAGTTCTGATTTTTTGAAGATTTGTTTATGATGTTGGACTATTGAATAATTCAAGTTTGTGACCTCCAGCGCCGAACGCAACTTTGTCAAAAATGGAAATAACCGCGAAAAAATCGGGTTTTTTTTAAAATTTTTCGATTAAAATCTGAAGGACTAGTTTTTGGAAAAACTTGAAATAACTCAACCAGACGTTTTTACCCGAACTTGTGATACAAGAATGTACCACAACCACAAGAGATAAACGAGCGAGGCCTGACTGCCGATATTATTGAATGTGCAATAGCAACGCACTTCTTTCTATAGGAATCCAAGCAGCTTCGATTATCTTTTGAAATTACCGTTTCTAGCAACAGTTTCAGAGAATCAGCGACAACTGAATTTACGTTCTGGAAGAGGTCACCGGATGGTGTGAATTGTGTTGTATCGTACACTTGCGACCGTAGTCTTTCTGTTTGAGGATCTGAGCTTCTACGTCATACCATATACTAACGATGAGATTGGAACCTTTGGTGTGAAATTTGAATAACTTTTTTCGAGATCAATTGCCCTAACACCAAACTGATATTTTTGCACTCGACGCGCCTTTCGCCAACAAAGTTAGCATCCTCATGAGAAGAAAATTGATACCTCGTCTAGTCTGGTTAATCCTTATATACTAAAATTCGTTACTTGAGGTTTTATATCTTAAGTCCAATATGGAATTTCTCGGTAATTAACTACCTGCAAATTCTCAGTAATTATTCTCTTCCTAACAGAAGATTAAAAAGCGGGCTAATGTGTGTGTGCACAATGCTCCTTGAAGCGGGTTTTAATCGCTCCTCGGCTCTGGCCGATGTATTTGCTGTTGCAATCTTGACCACTGTTTTCGTAAATCCCCGACCTTTCTATGTTTTCTGGTGTATCTTTTGGGTTACCAAGAAGCTGTTGCAATTTATAAGAAGTTTTATATGCAACTTTCATATTTACTTTATCGAATATCTGGTGAAGCCCTCTCGTGTATATGGGATAACTATAAACTTGTTATTTCTCTCTTCTTTTTGAAAAGTCGAAGATTCACGAAGTGCTTCCCTAAACTTGCATTTTCTATTTATCTTGTCAACTATATCTGGGTTAAAACCGTTTGCTTCAGCTACATACCGAATCACTCTCTTTTCATTGTCGTACTTATCTTTCTTCAAAGGAAAAGTTATTAAGCTGTGTACCAGAAATTGCAGTGCCGCCATTTTGTGTTGTGGACAGTGATTCGAGTCATTGGGAATGTATCTAAGTGCCCGTGTCTTTCCTGTAAATGTCAAATTCTATTTCGTTCTGTTCATTCCTTATGACCATCTGAAAACGGCAACTTTCGTTCCTTTTCTACTTCATATGTGAATTTTATACTCTTACACCTGTTGCTTAAAGCTGAAAGGATATTCTCAATTCTGGTTATCCTTGTATCCACTACAGCGAATATGTCATCAACATACCTGATCCAGACCCTAGGGAAGTAACTGAGTTCTTTCCCAGCTTCCGCCTCAAACCTACCCATAAATAGGTTCGCTATAAATGGAGACAATGGGTTACCCATAGCCGTTCCTTCACGCTGTTCATAATATGAGCCATTATATTGAAAACAACAGCTTCATTTGCTGAGTTGTTCGATTTCAGAAGATCCCTCAAACACTCTAGAGCTTGATCACAAGCTTGGATGCTTGGACGCTTGGAAATAAGGAACTCACATCGAACGATACCAATAATTAGCCTTCTCCTAGTTTGATATCTTTTATTTTCTCTATGAATTCTTGTGGAACCATATACTGGTGAGAATTTTGTGACCTGTGTTTTCAAAACAAGCAGTCAATGATCAAAATGTCCTCTCCATACTTTGCAAACAAGCGACTTTTGACTTTTCGTAGTTTAGGCAGTTCTCCTTCTATCTGGTCTATGAGTTCTTCTAGAGAGCACTCCTCAGCGTTCTCTTCCAGAAATGAATAAATCTTCTTCATGGCCTTATCAACTGTGGGATGCTGACGATTTCCCCTGGACTTTCCTGTTTGTGGTGCCTGGTAGAGCTTTGTTTGGCAAATCCGATGATATCTGGCATCAAAATGGCATACCAAATATGTGTTTCAGATATACGCTCTTTTATTTTAAGAGCCCATTCATCACCACGTTTATCAGCTGCTTTCAAGGTTGTTGCACTGAGAGATAACTTTTCCGCAGTAATGACATTGTTTCGTTTTTCTGGCTTCTTCTTCATTTCTGCCACAAAGAACTCTTCAGTTATTTTGCCTCCACGTATACAACAGTGTTCTCTGAAATTGAACTGCTCAGAGACTGATCTCGTGACCCTTGATGGCGTGATATTTGATTTTTCACTGCTAACAGCTGCTTTGATCAACTTTGGATTGTTGTATTTTATCTGACAAGCACTGTGCACATATATCTCCTTTACGCCCTTCAATAAACGCTGATGTTCTATGTTCTGAAGGAAAATACCGACGCAAGAAGGGTTTTTACACCTCTTCCCTTCACTAGGGGCACTTGAACTTCACTTAAAGTCTCATTTTATGTAAAACACAAACCCAGGCTGGGACTGGGATCAGACATTCTGTATATTTTGGGTTCAAAAGGCACTTACGTTATGGGCAGCCGACCAGTCAACAACTGAAACGAAAAAAAATTGAATTATTCATTAGGCCAACATCACAAACGAGTCTGAAAAAAATTTGAACTACCGGATTTGACGCATACTACCCCATACTTCGGGCGACAAAGTTACTGGATTAGGGTGAATTCAACAAAAAAATTAATGTATATTTTTTACAGTTTCCCATAGCGCTTTCAGAAACTCCTTCTGAGGCCCTGATGCGATACATACAAACTGACAAGCAAGCAGGAGAAAAAGCTCTTAACGAAACACAAATTCAAGAAAAGGTTACTGCAAACATCTTAAATGACGTATACCAGAAAGTTATTTCAGATTTTTCCTGGATAATTGAAGATATCAACGAACAAGTTCAGTTGCTTCAAGATGAACTTAATTATGCAGGAATAACAAACTCCATTTGTCAGCAAGAGATAGACAATCTTCTGAATAGTGACTTGAATCTAACACTGTTTTCCAAAGTTGATAAGGAGAAAATTGAAATATATGATAAAATTCTCAGTTACATTGTAGAGGCAGGAACTAACAAAATTGATTTATATCATTCTCAAGTTACCAAAACGTGGACTGAAATGGTCAGCTGTCAAGGATCAGAAAATCCTGCTACATGTATTCCAACAATCTTCGAATACATACAGGAACGAATTCAGAAATGTCCACAGGAATATGAAGAAGCTGTTCAAGGTTTACAGGCTGAGATGAAGGAACACGAAAATGCCTACAAAAATAGAAGTGTCGCTTATGTGGAAGAAATGAAAGGAACTCTGAAACCGTTGGTAACTTTGATGAAGACCTGTGTACATTTAGAAATGAGTAGGACCTAAAACCGTCAGTGAATGGGACAGATTTTAATATATCCTTCAAATGAATCAAATGCCCACGTATGTAATCATTTCCAAATAAAATGCCGTTTCACGAATTCATTTTATAATATGTGTCTGTTCCATGTGATGAGATCCTCTTATGACTATTTTGTGACCTTATGAAATAAATATACTATACAGGGTGTTTCCTGACCAAGGGAAAAAACTTCAAAGGGTGATTCGTTAGGTCGTTTTTAAATAAAAAGAGTTTCAATAAATATATGTATGGAGTTGCTTTGTTTTTGAGATAGAGGGCGTTGAAGTTAAAAAAACTATAAATTATCGTAGACATCCCTACACCGATTTGGTTGAAATTTGCTACAGTTATTTGAAGTAATGAGGTGCTTTTTTAGACCTAACTGTATTGAAATTATTAGGTCCAGTGAGCACCACAACTAGCAATGGGAAAAAAGTACGTTACTGACTTGATGTTATAGTTTTTCTTCTACAACTATAGACTTTTATTTGTGAAATCATAAAACAATGATTGAAATAAAAAACAACAATAAAAAATTAATTGGCGCTCCGGGGCGACTTCATTCATTTGTTCCAGTGGCGCATTTGCTTTTTCAGCTGAAGAAAAACCCGGAGAAACCTTCAGCACCACATCATCTGAAGATCTTTTTCTACCAATGTCCTCTCTCTCATAAAACAAAATATAGGGTGTCTACAGAGACTCAAATAGATTCAATACATCGCCAAAACACGACTATCGTCAAACTTAAACCAGTCCGTTTCGTCTTTGACCAAGGCGTAATAGTGACCAAATTCAAAGCCAGAACCACAGTGAACAATAACTGCATGAATATTATGATAGTGGTCTCAAAATTTTCCAACTGAAAATACAACTTTTTCGTTGCCTGTGTTTTCTTCATTTCCAGCTTTGCATATTATGATCACCTACTAATATGACACAAAAAATTGTAGATATGAAAGTTGTAGATCTTTTTATTACCTACACTTTTACCATTACATTTTTTTCCATAACACTTGTAGTTTTGCCGGAAATCATTTTTTTATCATATTTTCCTCCTTTTCTGAGGGGTTTCATCCTATTGTTATTTTTTTGGTTTCAAAAATTATCGAAAAAAATGTTCATTCTACTCTTGAAAAGATTCTGGGAAAATTCTCCAGGCAGTTACTCGTGGTGTTGCACAAGGATCGGTTCTAGGCCCTATTCTCTTCTTGTTATATATTAACGACCTAGCCCGTACTAATATAACAGCAGAAATAACCCAATTCGCTGATGACACTACTTTATTTTGGCTTTGCAAGAATGATATCTACCTGGTTACTCAATAGAAAACAAAATGACAGCAAAATTTCTGGGATTACAGATTGATAAAAAATTGGATTTTGAAGTTCACATAAATAACCTATGTGAAAAATTTCATCAGGATGCTTTGCAGTCAGAGTATCAGCAAATGAATTGGGCACTAATATGGCAAAAAATGTGTACTTTTCTCTCATTGATTCCCATCTGAGATACGGTATCTGTTTTTGAGGAACGTGTTGCCAATGCATGTTTTATAGGGTATTTGTACTACAAAAAAGAGGAGTTAGAAATATGTGTAGAGTTGGATTCAGGGATTCCTGTCGACCTTTATTGAGAAGGCATAAAATCTTGACCTTGCCTTCCATACTTATGTTGGAAATGGTATGTCTGATGCAAAAATAATACAGGACGGAAATTTTCACTTCACCACGATGAAATACCAGAAATAAGCTCAATATAGGTTTACCAATTCCATTGAGAGGTCTTTCATATATAATGAAAAGAAAATGTTTAACCATTCGCCAATTGAGATCAAAAGCATAACATGTACCACTAAATTTAGAAGTTGTAAAAAAGCTTCTGGTTTCAAAGGCCTTTTTTTCTTCAGACGAATTCTATTCAGACAGAAATTTGAATTATATAAACAATTAATTTTGATTATTGTGTTTCAGTACCTACTGGTATTTAAACTATGTGACTTTTTTAACTTTTTGTTCGATGTTTACATTCAGCTCTGAACTGTTTAGTTGAGAATGTTTATGAAATTGATACTTACTTTTGTTTTCCACGCATTCACTTTCACATTTTTATGCTTTATAATTTTTATATTCTTATACTTACATCTATCTGTTGCATGAGAATATTCGTTATTATTATTATTTATTTCAAAATGTAGCATATATATTATTACTTCATGACTACTTTTTCACCCCAAAATTCTGAAATCACCAAATGTTCAAATTTCAAATACTACTTTCAATTTGTATAACTTATATTCTTTAAAATAATAACACTTTGACTATGATATTTTATCTTCGACGATATCTATAAAGTTGTGTATCTTATTTTTCTTAGAATAGTAACACTTTGTCAATGAGATATCATCTTCGACAATAAAGTACATTTTCATTTGATTTAATCTGGAAGTTTATTGTAAAGGTCAAGGTTCAGTGAATTTTCCCTTGATTTATTCAACCTATATCGTTGACATCTAAAATTTCCAGATCTTGTAGGATAGTTATGATGTTCTAAATTTTTTGTTGATGAATCTTTCTTGTTACAAATTTCTGATACGGAATTATAAATGTGAACCGATGGACAGTCATATAGACCCTGTAATATTTCTATATATTAATTACAATAATAATAATAACAGCGGGTAACAGCAGTGAAGAACTCTCTCCGCGGCAAGTATCAGCACAAACTTCGACAGATCTGATCATCGGAACTGTCGGGGAAGAACAAAGTTACTGCAACAAATATGCTTGCCGTTCCAATCTTACTCTACCCGTTTAGAGTAGTGAAGTGGACTCGTGAAGAGCTGTATCAACTCGACGTGAAGACCCGAAAAATGATGCATCTCTATAGGAGTTTGCATCCCAAATCGTCCGTTCCACGGTTGTACTTCCCCGACAAGAGGGAGGCAGTAGACTTTTGAGTGTCTACATGACAGAATGGTAGTGGATACAGCTTGTGAAGTCGTCAGGAGTTCGGATCCCCTTCTCTGCATGGTCTGTGACCATGAGAGAGCAGATTTTGGAGCATTTTTCCTTAGGGCAGCTGCCCGAGCAGCTGATGAACTCGGTATAGTTTTCGACACTGAACGAGGTGACCACAACTTTGTCACCGAGTTGGAACCCGTTCAGCAAAAAACTCATACAAAAGCCGCAGAGATAACCTCACTTCTGCAGAAACATAAGGATAAGCCAATGCATGTCTTCTTCAATAACATTGGAGACCTTGGCTTATCAAAGAGCCTGAATTTTGCTTTCCTCAGGTCGAGTGAGCTGAAGTCGGAAACGGAGGAGTTCATCATGGCTTGCCAGGATTGTGTCTTCAACATCTTAGTCTAGTCAGTTCAGTTCTAGATGCAGTAGTGGCCATTAGTTCATTGAGTACAAATCGACTATGGTGTGAATTTATCAACGAAGTTTCATCAGCAAATGCAATACGCATGTCTGGAAGCAAGTATTGGAATATATCATTGACATTAATGGTGAACAAGAGTGGCGCAAGGTTGGATCCTTGTGGCACGCCATTATCAGTATGAGCCTGTAGCGAGGTGTTTCCATCGACCGATACCACTTGTTGAAGGACTTTACAAGGTTAAGTGGAGTTCCACTTACCCCATAGTATTCGAGCTTTATCGGCATATGAAAGCATTGGGATCCTGTTGGAAGATGAAGATATTCCGAATGTCCAAAATATAAATTTCTGATATTTAAACAAATCGCAATGACGTTGGGAATCGTAACTTGAATACAAAAGTACAAAGGAGATTCACTTTTGGGAAAGGAAGGTTTTGGCTTTTTATTTCATTGCAGACAAAAAATGTGGGAATCCTCCCGATGAAGAAAGAAAACAATCAAATCCGAAAAATACTATTCACAAAGAATGTCTGATCTGAGCTTTATAACGCATCAAAGTTGCTGATATGTGTAAAGTTTTTTGGATCAGAACAGTGCTCCAAGATTTTGACGAGCAGCCTTTTCAATTCCAGTGCCATGATTGTACCGAGACATATTGATGTCCATTTGAACCCCCAGAAAACTTCGAAGCAGAAAGTGGAATTGTCTGTCCTCACATTATTACATCAGGTGAAGATGTGCATCCGCAGCCGATGTCCTGGAATCCAAATGGAGTGACGAGATAAATATGCTGTCGTCAGTCATTCGTAGGATTCCTACTCAATATAGTTGAAGAAGGAGGTAACATATCATCCACATGAAACACTGTCATCCTCAATGACAAACTTCTGATGTTTCCTATGCCATATTGCCTCTTCAGTACCAATCTATATACCAACACTACATGGAGAAACAGTCAATTCATTCATAAAATTACGACTTCATATCACATTCGCTCTTATAAACTTACACTCGTTAACAAACTAAACATTTTAGTAAACACATCCCATTTTCTCATTGCCATTGTAGTATAGAAATATAATTGAAATATGTGCCTACCAAAGATTCAACGATGAACATTTCAACAAAGGACTGAATTGACTAAAATGTATGGAACGCCGTTTTACTT